TTTAGCAACTTCTTGCAATGAAATTTATTGGAAGTTGTTTTAAATAAAAGGTTATTATATTAAAGTGAATAGCAGTCAGTGTGTTTCTTTTATGATTAGTTCTGAGACCTTGGCCTGCATGACTCAAAGGTTATTAACACATCAAGTAAAACTCAATGTTATTTTTTAAAAAATGAAGTATATACTAAAATGTTATGTTAAAACATCTGTGTTGTTACATGACCATGCTAAAAAAAAATCTGCTTTAACATTTAATTATTTTAAAGACACTTAAGATAAGTTATATCAGTTGAGGCAGTACAATAAAACTCGATGGCTTATTTTTAAAGAACTCCTCAAGATTAATATTAGGAAACAATAACTGAATTTTAATTATAGAATAATTTCCTATAAGCTTTGTTTTTATATTATGTCTGTTTTCTACCTTGATAATATCATTGGAATTAACTAAAATGGTCTATTTAGGTAGCCTTGATAAAGCAAAAAGTAGCCATTATTTAGACCCTTTAAAAGAGAATTCATCAAAAGGTCTTGACCACCCCCCTGCAAAAAAATGAAATGTAATTCCAGCTGCCAGCCTGGATTTAGTGAAACATTTGCACTCTTTGCTCCTTTGTGAAAATTTTATAATAATAATAATAATGATAAAGTTGTAAGGGACCTTGGAGGTCATCTAGTCCAACCCCCTGCTCAGGCAGGAAACCCTATACCATCTCCAGGATCTCTGAAAAATATATATAGTTCAGTGGTTCTGAGATTACATCTGCCAGTTCCTTGAGAACCTTGGGATGTAATCCATCTGGTCCTGGTGATTTGATATATTACAAATATAGAGTGGGGTGCTGGCCTAGTGGTGAAGAGGCTTGCCTCCCACTTGGAAGGTTGAGAGTTCAATCCTAGGTATTGGCAAATGTTCCTCTTCTAGGGAGCAAAGAAAAAATATCTGCTGCGAACTCCACATGGCATTAGGAAGGGCATCCGGCCAGTACTCTTTGAATTGTGCTCGTCTGTCAGAGCACAAGTCTTTAAAAAGGTATTTAAAGGCCAATGCTTTGACAGAAAAGCACAATTCAAAGTGCACTGAAGATGTCCCCCTGAATGGAGACGAAACGTTTGCAGCCAAATCGCCAAGCTCGGAGATCCAACCAACAGCCCATTTCCATGTTAAATCAAGTTGTCTTTTTTGTTCAACTGAACAAATTGGAATAATGATATTGCTGAATAGAAATTTATGACAGGACTAAGAGATGCTGGAAAATTGTTATTAGTTATTGGAGATTATTTTAAGGAAGATAGGCCAATGAAGAGATTCACAAAAAAACAATTATTTGGTTTTCAGTGTCCTTAAATATTTTTGTTTTTGATTAAAGAAAGTACATGTTGGCATAATGCAGACTGAGACACAAGGACAGGCATGAGAAGAATTCTTCATGACCATAGTTTTAGCAGATTCACACATATAACTGTATACATGCAAGAATTTTTTTCAGATGGGCCAGTTGAGAGTGTTTGTTTACTCTTGTGCAAGCAGGATGAATTTTCCAAACAGATGTCCAAGAGAGGTTAAATGACTCCCTAGCATCTAACAGTTTTTATCTTGATCAGACTATTACAGTGTTAGCTGTTTTTATATAATATATGTTTATACTTAAGAATAAAACACTTTATAATTTCAGTTTACAGAAAATGCAACCATAGAAAGGTGTCCCTTTACATTCTTTTTCATAAGTGCCACAATAAACCAGCTTAATCCACTCTGCCAGCTGCCACTGATAGATATTGTACATACAAGAAAATAAATACAATTTTCGGCTCTTAGTGGGATGCATTTCTCCTAAAAGAGCAAGCCTGTAATCTGGGTGTCTTCCTAGTCTCCCAGCTTCATTTTGAAGAACTGCTGGTTGTATTGGTCAGTAAGGCCTTTGCCCAGCTTCAACTGCTACAGTTAATTATTATGTAGTGTCATATTGTATCAGTATGAACCATTGTCTTTAAACCAAGATTTCCAAGCCACTTTTCTACCCTTGGAAATGTCTAGTCAGTTAAAGGTTTTAGCTGTTTACCTTGGTTGTTTACCTTCTATCAATTCTTTTCTGAAAGTGCAAGTAATACAAGAGGGTGATATTAGGTTGTAGAAGTATCAGTTAAAATTCTAGATCCCTTATTTTACTATGAAAATTCAATATGATTGGTCACGTATACATATATCAAAAGATCTGCCAGGAAAAATATTTTCTTGTATCTTATAGGCTCTATTCACACTTTTAATTCTAAGAAACTATTCAGTTGAGTCTTGAAAATTCTCCAGTGTTGAAGTTTAAATGATAACAAATATGCAAAATGAAAAGGTTTCTGAGATCTTCTCTTCTGCTGATGCTTCTTTTTCCTCTTTTTCCTCCTCCTCCTCTGGCATATTTTCTGGCCTTTCTTATTATCACCACAAAAAGCAGCAGCTGGTGACTAACATTAGCAAATAAGGCCTCGGGGGTACCCATATTCCAGTTCTTTATTCACCAAATGCTATTCAGTGAAACAGCTGGATCAGAAGCAATACAGCCAAGTTTTATGTTTACAACTGTTCAGATATAGATTGTCTGCTAGAGGCAGAAATAATGATAGCTTTGGAGGCTAATGTATTTGACTAGGATAGAGCTATTGAAAGGAGAAAGTAAAGAGCCAGTAACCATCTTGAAATGTTTTTCAAGATTTATTTCTAAACCATCAGTTGTCAATATACACTATTTTTCTTGCTCTGTCCTCTCCCATCCCTGATTATTCATTACATTAATTCTAATGTTGTGGTGAAATTTATTATACAGACTTTGGGAAAGGCTGTTAAAAGTGATAACTGATGTCACGTGATTGCACTTTAGAATGCCTTGGTGTTTGAAGAAAAATTAAAAATAATGCAAATTCTGGATACAGTTATTCTGTTCAGATATTTTTGGCAACTTTAAATTGTGTGGAGTTCCACTTCCAGAATTCCACAGCTAGAATGATACTTTCTGTAGAGATACATACATTATATCATGGTCCTCCAATTTTTTTGATGATCTTTTGCTGTAAGCCTAAAATAATATTTTGATTTATTCTACTTATAAGTTGGTAAGTTTTTAAATTATTTCTATGGAAAGCATGCATTTCTTGGCCTCTTTCAAAAACCGGACAGGACTTCTAAGATTGCCATCCTGACACCTTGTGTCTTCATTTGCTATAACTTCTGAACCTGAGGATGTGTTGTATTAAAATGTTTCCCAAGGTTGTCCTTGTTATTATGGAGACAGCAGTATTTAACTATTAAATTGTTACTTTTTGGGGGCCAGGGAGAGAGGTCAGAGCAAAATGTGCTTGTGCCAGTTCTGATAGGGTCTAAAATCATGTCAACACCAGACCATCAATTCAAGAAACCAATATTTATTCTCAAATCACAGTTTAAATAAGCCACATATCTATATCTATATATCTATATCTATAAATTTCATTTATAATTCGTAGGAAATATTTTCAGTCTTCTGATCTGCTAAATGTGGGTACAAAGCTAAAGATTTATAACAGTTCTTCATTAATAAAATAATAATGAAAAGTGCCTAATTAGGACTCTACTTGAAATATAAAATTTTTAAAAAATGTAATGAAATAAAAAAAATGGAAAAATTTGCAATACTCTCACTAAATTAATTTAAGAGCATTTTGGATGTACCATCTATTCCATATAATTGAGCACAGTTCTTGATTGTTGAGAGGCAGATTTCTGGAATTGTGTTTGTTTTTATGGATAAAAAATACTTGTTTCTACTAACAAATCCTATTTTTATTAGTAATAGCATTAAACACAATAACTGTGCTGCTACTACTTTCATTACTATATCTGAATAGATCCTCCTACAATGTTGATTGCTTGTATAGTAAAACCCTTACAGATCTATTTTAAGTGTACCTCTGAAGTAATGACATATTTCATCAAATATAATATATTTATCAAATATATATTTCAATGATTTTTCCCAAAAATTTAGTTTACTGCAAAAATAATTCACCCTACCACTTATTATTGCATTTCACATCAAACTAAGTAGAAATGAGTAAGGTTATTTTTCAAAATATTTATCTTTATAATAAAACTCTGGAAATATGGTAGGTAAAAAGGTAAGAATCGAGTGTAAATTAATGTATGATGCATTGCACCTTGAAAAGATAATGTTTAGGTTGACTTTTGCCAAATTTTATTGTTTATGTATGCCAAGTTTCTATTGTGCTTTCAAACAAATGTAAGTAATTGAACTAAGGCTGCAAAATGTACCACTTCTTTTGTATTTATATTGTATAGTTCAAATTTGAAAACTTCAGATTGATAATTTGGAATATTTGAATATATTTTGTCTTAATGAAGAAGAAAGTATTCTTTATTGTAGTGCCTTGTCATTTTTTATCTTAATAAAGTTTAGATTTATTGTTCAAATTAAAAAAATAAAATGAAATCAAGCTCACAAATGTAATTTATGAAGCTCATAACTTTAGAGTCTGAAGCACTCATTTATAATGATTTCAGAAAATGAGTTGTGTATTCAAGTAATCAACCAATCATTAACTCACTGTTTTCTCCACATGAAAAATTATAGTAGCTTTTTGGACAGCCTTATATATTAAAACTAGAGTCCAATTGTTTAAAAATTCTACAGCTCTTTTGAAACTAAATTGATTTGGAGAGCGATAAAATTTAGATATAATTACATAATCTTAGCTCATTTTTCCTGCTTCTGGGGCTTTCTAATGATGATATATAAAAGGAAATGTTTTGACATTATCAATTTTTTCTTAAGCATTAAGCTTTAAGCTTTTCTTAAATATTGCTGTGTTTTAAGATAAGGAAAATTTTGCAACCCCCTATCATATGATTTCATTTATTTTTTTAATGAAATTTTAAATCATTTTTCAGGATAAATTCTCTGAACAGTGGAACAATAACAACAAATAACAAATGTATAATATTTTTCTTTTAGATGCAAGAATTACGGAATACAGAAGGAACTCAATATAATTCCCACCCCCAGATAGCAGCCATGAGGCCAAGAGTCCAGCCTGGAGATATGAGGCAACCAGGAATAATACAACATGGTCAGCTGACAACTATTAACCAGTCACAACTAAGTGCTCAGCTTGGTTTAAATATGGGTGGAAACAATGTTCCTCACAACTCTCCATCTCCCCCTGGTAGCAAATCTGCCACTCCTTCACCATCCAGTTCAGTTCATGAAGATGAAGAAGATACTTCAAAGGTATGGCCAATCCTTTTAAAACTGTAGTTATTTGTAACCAGCACTATACAATTTAAACATAATTTAATGAAATTTAATTTTATTTTAATTTTAAAGTTTAATTTTTTTAAATTTTAATCAATATCAAATGCCTTTTTTCAAGTGTGATACCATCTATAAATTCTCTACTCAAAACATTAATTGAGAGATTTCCTCTCAATAAACTTGTTTATACAAGTTTACTACATACTGTGTAAACAATTGTTTTGTTTCTTTTTTCAACCTTATCCCATTTTAACTCAACATAAATGCTTAATCCATGTAATAAGTATTCTATGTATTCAAGATACTCCATTTCTTTCCTGTTGTATATGATCCATTAAATATGAAATTAGCATCTGAACTTCAACTAGCTGCAGTTTCTACTTACATTGGTAGGTTGGGTAAATAGGTATGTGAACCATAAAAATGGACAAAGAAATTTAAGACCTGAGATTAGAAAAAGAAAAGAAACCATAACTGAATCTAATTTACACAAACATTATTTACCATACTTCTTGCATGCTCATCTACTCTTGCAAACCATTATTCCACCATACCTTATATTACTTCATATATTGCTTTTTGATCTTTAAACTTGCCCCTTTGTTTTTCAAAATTATATAAATTCTATCGTGGACTTACGAATAGTCCATGACTTACAACCACAGCTGAGCCCAAAATTTCTGTTGCTTAAGCAAGGCAGTTGTTAAATGACTTTTGTCCCATTTGGTGACATTTTTGTCACAGTTGTTAAGTGATTCACTGAAGTTGTTAAATGACTCATGCGATCAGGTTACAAGGTTACAAATGATCACATGATCATTTGACAGTGCAGCTGTCATAAATACATGCCAGTTGCCAATTGCCCACATTTTGATCATATGATAATGGGAAATGCTGCAATGATTTTAAGTGTGAAAACTGGCCTGGACTTCCCAGGCAACGAAAAACTTGTTCAGATGGCTCAATTGTCGAGGTGTAATTTTATCCTCTCTTTTGCTTGTATTATATTTATTAAGAAGGGGTTTTAACATTTTTACATTTATTAATAAGGTTTTTTTACATACATGTACATTATACATGTACAAGTTTTATTTATTGTTTCATCTGATTGTTGTTCACCACCCAGTGTCACCTTTCATGAAATGGACAGATATATAAATTTGATTAATACATAAATACACTTACTTTTATGTTTATATTCCAAAATGATAGACAAATTCATCTACTTGATCTTATTTTTTGCAACATCTTACCATTCTCTGCTTGGTCTTCTGGATAAAACAACAAGCTTTGTCTTTGATACACTGATTTTAAGATCCACACTCCTATTATATCATACCTTCTGTCTACTATTTGCTGCAAACTCTGGATTCCCAGTCAACAATATAATCATTAACTACATACAGAAGTACACATATATTCACCTCCTGAACCAATGTTCTTCTCCAATTATATTAAGCATTTCGTATATATTTCTCCATAGATACCTTTACAATGAATGAATGAATGTCAAATGATTCACTAAGCATTCCATTTTACTCTCCATCATCCTTTATTTCCTTCATGTCACATTCATCAACCAAATCTATACTTCCCTAAACTCATAATTCAAGCCTATCAACTTTACCATATTTTTTGCAAAATCAATAAACTTCAAATGTTACTTCTCATGTTCATAAATCATGATTAACTGAAGGCCAAAATTCTGATTTGGTACATCCTAGGCCATGCTGCACTTCAAAAATGTTCCTCTGTGTAACTCCTCATTTTTCTTTAATTGGAAGCCTGCTGAATACCTTCATAGGCATGCTTGACCATAAATGTTATAACATTCTTTCCAATTCCATTCTTCAACAAGATCACATCATTCCCATAGAATTCGCTAGACTGCCCCTACCGGCATTCTTTTACATCAGTTTCTTTTCACTTCATTGCTTTTATTTTTAATTCAATTTAAACTGCTGGAAGCAGTTTAATTAACTTTCACACACGCCCCAAAACACTTTATTTCTGTCAGAATTAGTGAATATTTTTACCACCTTTTTTCATTTAACTGTTCCTTGGTATCTTTTGACTACATTCTTTGTGACTATCTTTTTCTCTCTTTTCACATACTATAATACATTTCCTCATACCTTCATCATTACTGAGTTGAACTACTGCAATGTATTGCAATTTATGGGACTAAATTGAAGACCCATTTAGAGTGGGTCAGAAACTACAAAAAGTACAGAATGCAGTGACCCCCTTGTTACTGTGAGATAATCACCAACAACATATTACTTTGTAATATATAGGCTGTTATATGCATTTTTATCATCTTTCTACTTCATTCAACAAAATATCATTTTTATATTTGCATTTGTATAAATCCACCTACTTCTGTAATATGTTGTAACAGAATTATTTTCATTCTATTCCAAGCAGCTTTCACATGGCCCACCTTTTGCTTAGAGTGGCAACTAGCTAATTATGCTGCCATTAGTTATCTTTCAGGAAACACCTCTTCAGGTGTACACTTGCTTGGTGAGGGCTCTCACAATCTATACTGTCTTTCTGTTGTTGGAGGAAGGAAATAAAGTAATTACTGTAGTTCTACCTTCTAGCCATCAAGATAGGTCTTCAAATGAGGAATCTTCCAAGATGACTCATTGTCACCTCTGTTATTTGTACTTTCGATGGCGCCACTAATAAGCATTTTGAACAAAGTAAACTGTGGCTATGACTTGGCTAAAAAAAGGTTGAAAATTTCCTATTTGCTTTACATGGATGATTTAAAACTGTTTGGAAAAACAAAAGCTGAATTGAGCTCACTGCTGAAAAGCACTGAGGAGTTTAGCAGAAAGATTGAAATGCAATTTGGCATTGACAAATATGCAACAATTGTTATTAAGGCAGGAAAAATTGTTGAAGATAATAGATTCAAACTTGATAATGAAAAGCTGATAAATGCAGTAACACCAGAAGAGGAGTACAAGTACTTAGGAGTTTTGGAAGCTTTTGATTTATTGCACAACCAAGTCAAGGAAGCTACTTCAACAAAATACATAAAGCAAGTCCGGAAAATCTTGAAATCAAAGCTGAATGGAGGAAATATCATAAAGGCAATTAACACCTGGGCAGTGCATGTAATACTATACTCAACTGGAATAATTGATTGGACTGAGCTAGAACTTGATAATTTGGATTGAAAGACAAGAAAACTAATGGCACCATGCTCTGCACCCAAAAGGTGATATTTTGATTGTACTTGCCAATATCTCAGGGTGGCAGAGGTCTCTTACAGGTGAAGCAAACTATGGAAGAGTTAATTGACAACATAAAAAAGCAAAAGAGCCTCTGCTGAAGGAGATGAACAAGGGAAACCTCTTGAAAACAACAAGATTGAAAGTAGAATATAGAAAGGAAACAATTGAGTATCGGGTTTTTAACTGGAAAAAGAAGCCTATGCACAGTCAATACCTGAAGAACATTGAAGGAAAGTTATATACAAAGTTAATATGGAGCTGGTTGAGATTAGGAGTGCTGAAGAAAGAAACTGAAGGCTTCATTTTGGCTACCCAAGAACAAGTCTTGCAGACCAATACCATGAAAGCAAAAATTCAACATGTCAGCAATAACAATATCACTTATGCAATGAAAAAGATGAAACAGTGGATCACCTTATCAGTGGCTGCAGCAAAATCTCACAGACTGATTATCTACAATGTCATGATCGAATTGCCAAAATTATACATTGGAATCTTTGCCAGAAATTTGGGTTAGAATGCAGCAAAAATTACTGGGAACACGAAATTGACGAAGTCGATTGAAAAAGAATAAAAAGTTTTTTTATCCCTCCAAATAAGAGAAACCGTTTTGCCTTTCAGCCCCAATCTAGGAGCCTTTTGCAGGCTCAAGTCGCTACTGCGATAAACTATTTCTATAAATTTAGATTTTTGCTGACAAAGAGTTTCGTATATGAAAGGATTTCATGGAATTTAGAGAACATGGTATGAGAAGATTGTCAACAGCAAATGTTAACTAACTGAAACATGATCATTAAAGCTTTGCTGTAGCCTATTCTGTTTTGTTTTGTAGCAGAGAACCTAACAGTTTACTTTGTTTTAAGTAGAATTTTATGTTTTTTGCTTAGTCTATTATGCAAATGGTACTTGAATTAAAACATGTTTTAATCTATGGTGAATAAAACAGTTCTCCTACCTTCCATTAAAATCTTGGAACTATTGCTGTTTATTTTAAATATGCTTTTAGGTTTTGTTGGCTTCTCAGGGGGCATTTAGATATCATTATTACACATTTTTTGATAATCTTAAATCCTTATCTATCTATACTTGTGATCTATTATTTGTGAATCATGGTTAATACAGATTTTTAAAGTGAGTGACTTGTGCCTTCTTGTGATAAATAAGTTAAATACATCACTATAATTAAGCAATAAGGTCTGACAGGAGGTGGATTACCACAAGCTAACTATACCTCCAGGGATTTTGAAGCAGAAGTCTGTGCTTAGCAAACTAAGAATGAGAATTTTTTAAAACAATTTCCCATCTGTCTCTATTTTGATGGCTAGCAGCAAAATCTGTATAATTGCTGGTTGTTAGAACCATAAGATTCCAAAATCACCCTCTTTAGTTTCTAAGTTATTAATGTGAATTTAGTTTTAACTTCCTTGTTTGAAAAAAAAAATCCTGGACGAACAACTCAAATCCAGTGAATCATTCATCCTGCCTCAGAGATAGCAGTTTTCCTATGTAGCCTTCTATATATGCCAATAGTTACTTGGTAAATAACTATTCTAAGTAGCTGAGTAACTTGTTAGCTAAACATGTATGATGGTTTAAAGAATTTGGATTTCCACCTTTCTGCTGCAAGTTTATTATCCTGATCCTAAAGCATGAACATGGTCGTTCCGATGTTAATAAAAAGTGATGAGACTACACTTTGAAAGAAAAAGATGATTCTAAGTCATAACCATTCCAGTGCAGAACAAAGCCATAATAAATATAACATTATAGAGATCTTAATTTATGTTTCAGTATCATAGACAATCATGCATACAGTTTAAGGATCTTATAAACAGATGTTTAATGCTTTCAGAGGGTACAGATCCAGGGAGTGGATAATGCTGACTTTTTGCACTGATGCTACAAGTACCAGCTTCTTGATGTTTATATGATCACATTGTATATGGCAGTGGTATTAGGTAGTAAAGAATTTAAATTTTGCCTTTGAGTGCTGTGAGAGATATTATGATCTATTGTAACAGAAATGCCAGTTTGCATAGGAAAAAGATCTTACTAAATATAAGAAGAACCTTGGCATATTTTATTATTCTAGAAAAAGAACTACTTTTCTTTTTGTTCTCATAATACAAAAAATGTTAACAGAAAATTTCAGTAGGTTTTACAATTGAGTTTTATTTGCATAAATGCTATTCAGAGTGAAGCATGACTGGAATGGCATATAAACCGAGATAGATAGATAAATAAATAAACACTCCTCGGAATAAATTAATAACACAAATAAATTTGTACTACAATTTTATGTGAAGATTATCTTCATACAGTATATTACTTACAGTGGAGAGAAATGTGACAGGGACAAAGTTTTCAGTACTTTTCATATGCTTTTATTTTGAATGCAGCATTTTTTAAAATAGGTAATCCATTACTAACCATTCATGTAATGTTCTCTTGACAATGTGGATGCAGTTTAAAAACATAATTATTTTTTCTACTTCTAATGTGGCATGTACCACTGCTCATATTCTCAAGTTTTATTGATGAAAACTGGGGCACCCTTAAAAATAAACAGCCCTATAGCCTCATGTAAACTTCCTCTTTCAGGCCCAAGTTCCAGAATATAGGTAGTTCTCAGCTTATGACCATTGTTGAAATTGGAATTTTGTTTGTAACTTATGATGGTCATAAATTGAGGCACTCATGTTTATGACCAGACCTTGTTGATGGATCCAATTGTACAACAGTTTTACAGTGGTTGTTAAGTGACTTAAGTTGAAAGTCCAAATCTATTCTCCCAAATGGGTGTTTTTGCCAGAAATTGGCAAAAAATGTTGTAAATCATGGTCACATAACCATGGGATGTTACAACCAGTGGAAAATGTGAGCCAGTTGCCAAGTGTCCAAAATGTGATCATGTGACTCCAGGAGGTTAGCACAACATTTTTCGACAACTGGAAGTCATAAAAACTTTTCTAAGGCCATTGTAATGCCAAACAGTTGTTAAATGTCAAGGATTACCTATTTATTATTTTATCCCTGAGCTAAAGGAAAGCCTAAATTTCTTTTAAATATTGGCAGTATATAGACTTGACTTAACTTATCTCATGAAAATATTATGTTAATTATCATATCAGGCACAGATATAGATTTCTCCTTAAACAAGTGCAACACAATATGATGTCATTCTTAAGGACTGAAAGGAAAAAACCCTGTAAGGACCATATATTGCATAGATTACAGCCAAAGAGTATGCTATATTTCCTCAAGAGACTCATAAACCAACTAACCAGCATCCTTTACAATAAGCAAAAATTATTCTCCAACACCATCTCTACCCTGGAACTCCAACTGCACCAGGACCTGACAACAATCTTATTCTATAAATCTCACCTCCTTGAAGAAAAAGAAAACGAATTGTTCCACACTTCTATAAGTTTCACTTAATATAATAGGAGGGTTTCATAGACTTCCCACAGCATTAAAAACCTACCAGTTGCTCGGTCAGCCAGTCAGAACACTCCAATTCTTGCATGAGACTTATTCTTTTGTTCCACTAAGCCCCGACAAAATATAAGCTCTGTGGGGACTATACAGTATTTTTTCCTTGATTGAAACTTAAAATAATAATAAATTGGATAGTAGCTGGATGCTGGTGCACTATAAATAAATATTTCCCAAACATGTGGACTTCAAGCCATCAGGAACATAACCACTGAAGTCAACATAGCATACCTTGTCTCTAGACAGTATGACTTTGCATTCAACCAAAACTACATTATGTTTGGCAGTGACATTTTCATGGCTGACCTAGAATACCTTTGTCCCTGAAATCTCTCTTGTACTTGATGACATTTTCTTCATCATGAAGAAGATCCACTAATCTCTAAAATTTCAACAGCTTCCACCCCATCGTCATTTTTAGCCACTTCCTTGATGTCACAGTAAAACTACGCAATGGACATATAAAAAGAAAAGCTATCTTATCTCATGCATACTTATGTGCTTCCAGCTCCCATCTAGAACATATCACCGAATATCCAGGCTCTACACTACAACCATATTTGTTCTGACCTATTTGCCAAATACTTTCAACTGATGGATTTAAGTCAAATACATACTGTACAAGATCAATAGACAAATCAATTGAGTCAGATCCATTTCTAGAGGGCATTTATTAAAAGACAAACCACAGTAACAGAATAGAACACTACTGGTTGTTGCCTACAACTACCAGCTTGAGCAGTCTGTTGTATAGAAATTACAGTCCATAATGCATAATGACACTGCACTTAGTTAGCAATATGTAGCAGATGCAGACTTGAATACAGACAATATATCCAACCTAAAAGTCCATGTGTTGTGAGATTAAGTGGCTTTCATCATGTCTTCTTACTTCTGGTTAGTGTTCATCTATGTATTCTGCAAGTTTTCTACCTTTTCCTATATACTGGTAATAGCTGATACGGTCCTCACATTGGATGTTGTAGATGACTCCTGTTCTTTCTTCTTGGGCTACTGAGTCTTTTGGTTTACTTAAGGTGTTTTGGAAAAGCAACCCTGAGCTACGTATATTCCCTTTTATTGAAACTGATTATCGTATTAATGAAAGAGTTCAGAATGACATCATGCCATTTGCAGTAAAGCTGAAAAGGATTTAAAAAATAAAAGCTAAGCTACAGTTTAGCTAGAATGAAAACAAACTGTAAGGTATAATATAATTAGGTTATATAACTTTATAAATGAATTTTATAAATGAAATAATGTAACAGGCCAATGATTTGGATTATAAAAGGGCTGTAATTAAAGTAAATTTTTAAGCTAAAAGTCTAAATTCATATGGATGGAAGAACAAAGAACTAGTTTGGTTTTCAGTAATAATTGCAATAGTTTGTTTTATAATGATTTTTTTCTTTTTTTGGTAGATCAATGGGGGAGAAAAAAGACCTGCCTCTGACATGGGAAAGAAACCCAAAACTCCTAAGAAGAAGAAAAAGAAGGATCCTAATGAGCCACAAAAACCTGTTTCTGCCTATGCATTATTTTTCCGAGATACTCAAGCAGCTATTAAGGGCCAAAATCCAAATGCTACTTTTGGTGAAGTTTCTAAAATTGTAGCATCTATGTGGGATGGCTTGGGAGAAGAGCAAAAGCAGGTAAAGTGTTACATTGCTTTCAAAATTATTTATATATTTACCTTCTATTTTTAGAACAATTCTTTTTATCATTAAAAAAACAATGTTCTCATTATGCTCATATGTCCAAGAACTAAATTTCTTTTACATGTATTTAACTATTGTCTTCAGGCTAGGGTTAAAGAGAGGAAAAATCACATATGCACATATGTTACAAGATGATCTAAGAATTTGCTTGTGAATTGGAATGCTTGAGTTGTAGATAACTATTCTTTGCAAATTGTGAATATGATAGGCAGATTTTTCAAAATTGATCTTATTGAGCCAAGACTGCATACCATTTGATACGGGAGTAGGAGGATATTGTGCACATATCAGAATAAGAGAATAATAGAGTTGGAAGGGACCTTGGAGTTCTTCTAGTCTAATCCCTGCTCAAGCAGGATATCCTATACCATTTCAGACAAATGGTTGCCCAGTCTCTTCTTAAAAACCTCCAGTGTTGGAGCACTCACAATTTCTGGAGCTTCAAACCTATCCTTGAACGGATAAGCTACTGTATATACATTTGATTCACTGTGGAAACACAATGTTGAGTAAATTGATATGCCTATACTTGTTGGTGTTTGAAAATTAACATAGGTCTATGTCAAAAGTAGCATTAGTTTGCAGTATTTTTTTCTATGACTTTACATCTAAATTCCATACTACTTAACATTAATGATCTGTTAAAGATATATTTTTCAGATGTTTACTAACAGTTTTTGCAATTCCAATAGAATATGTTTACTGGTTACTCTTCACCTTTTAACATATTAATGCTTTGTGTGCCTACATTTTAATAAAACAAATAGGGAGTTTTTCTACTTCATTTTGAGGCCATCCTTGTAACTCCCATTCTAATGTTTCATTAATTTCTACCAATTATAACTTTGCTTATGGTAACATCAGTAGTAATAGTAAGGTAATAATCAAAAGAATTTCACCTTTCTTCAAATAATGCTTTTTTCTGGCTATAGTGCCAGAGAATAATCATAATATTTTGAGATTTTTTAATAGTTGTAATGACTCATTATATTTTTTCCTACTTGATTGTTTGGTTAAGAAAACAGTTTTATTGGATAATTGAATATTTGTCATTGGGTTTTTTTTAAAGAAAAATCAGGACAATTATGTTTAGAAATAGAGATAATGTTTTGTAAAACCAAAAAAAGGAGTGTTAAAAGAAGAAAAAATATCAACAAAATGAATGGTGTTAATGCAATGAAAATTAATTACATCTACAGAACAATTAGAGAACCATGTGAGTGATCTGCACTTCAGTGCTATAATAAGAATGAATTAACCAAATGGCTCCCAGCATGTGGACAAACTTATCACAAATATTGTCAAATGCTTCTGACAGCATTTTTTCAATTACAGACTCAAAACTGTCATTGTTTGAGGAAGTTGCATTGTTAGCTAATTGAAAGAAAAATAGGGTTTTCTCATAAAAAAAGAAAGCTTTCAGAAAGCACTTCTGGATTCAGTTTAGCATTTTAGCTTTAGCATTAGATCCTCCCATGCTATGTAGCGTGTCAGGCAGCAAGGGATGTCCAGTATTTTTAGTTTTGGGCAAATACGTAAGCGTCTTCCCATGTAATGTTTAAAATCTTTAAGTCATCTGTGAATGTTCTTAGCCATGTATTTCAAGGTCATTTGGCATTGGGGGGAGTCCATCTCATTGCCATCTTGGGAATTTGATTATTCTCCATATGGAGTATATGACCTGCAAGTTGGAGTCTCCTGCATGCGACAATGTTATGTAATTTGCAGGGAAAACTCTTTTGGAGCACTTCTTCATTGGTAACATGATCAAAATAGCAAAAGTATAATACCGGTAGTATTTAGTTTAACAGCTGTAAAATTATTGCTTCTTCTAAATGTAAACTACATATCAGATAATAAAGAATTAGCACATTTTTTTGTTTTTTACCGACCTTGGAATGATGGAAGGCTGAGTCAACCTTGAGCCACTCAAGATTGAATTCCTGGCAGTGAGCAGAGGCAGCCTGTAACATTGCATTCTGACCACTGTGCCACCACAGCTCTATATTCATTCAGCACCCATTAATTCTTGATCATATATTTTTTTGTTTCCCTCATGCATATGTTAGGTACCTTATTCCCATGGAACTCTACTATTATATTTCTTTTGATTTATCCAGTCCTCATCCTCATGTAACAAAGTGGGCAGAAGCATGTTCTTAAACACAGCCATTCTCAGTTAATTCCTTGCAACTGCTGTATTCATTTTCCAACAGCATTTTCATGCGCCTTCAAATTTCTCCATATGTTAGTTTTTTAAAATTTATGTATAACTTGCATGAACTTACCCATTTTACGTGTCAGCCATAGTTAACTTAGATTTTGATATATTATTTTTCTTATTGCATTACATTCTATTAACATGCATAAATTATTAGAAGTCTCTGCTAGAAACAGCAGAATCTTCATGTAAAAATATACATAGTTGTATGTATACGTATGTATAACAACATACTTCTAATGTCACTACAATAACTTCTTATACATTTATTTTAAATGTTTTAAGTAACACAGGTGATTTCAATCACCCTTCCTTTCTGCTGTATTGCATCATTTTCTAAACAATCAGTTTATTTTTTTTTTTGCAAGCTTTATTTTAGTCATATCCATTCTTACTTCATTTTGGACTCAATTAAAATCTCCATATTTGTACATAGGATTCCACAATTAAGTCTGCTCACATTATTATGCACTTTCTACAAATACATAATGTACAATCAACTTTGGCTCATTTCTCAGTGACCTGCTAAAGAACCAATGTCTCTTCTAAACAGCTTCTAAATGGCATAAAATTATACTCCATTTTCCAAATTTAGGTCTTTTGATGAAAATTCAGCCAAATTCCTTATTCTGTTTAAACTTTGTCCAGAATTAGTTATAAGATGGGCATCTATATAAATGGAACAAACAAATGAACGAACAAACAAACAAATAAATGAATGACTCCCTGGGCATACCTAACAAACTCATTTCTCTGTAGTTTCTACATTCATCCTTACTACTTTTCCTTTTGTATAGTACACGAGTAACAACATTTCTTTCCAATTATTAGGCATGGATTCATTCTTCACATACTTCACATACTTGTTTCTTTCTGTCAAAATTGATGACAATGTTTGCCTTGTTTAAAAAAATTACTTTTTATGTCAACCATTCTTTGCTCTCCTTTGTTCTTTGTGACTTTTTCTCTCTGGTTACACAGTATAAAATTTTTCCTTATCCTTATTTTGTGCTCATTTTCCTGCCCTCATCACCTCTCAGCTATACTAATAGAATACATGGCTTCATCAGTGAAGGCTTCCATAGAATGCTGTTTAGTAAAAGAAGCTATAGATTAGATTATTACTTATTAATATTACTATAGTAATGTATAACTCACTGTATTCTGTGTAAGCTAGGATCTCTAGAAACTGCTTTTTACTATTGCTACCTTCACCTCACCTAGTAGGGAGTATATGCAGTGTCCTGACACCCATTCTAAATGTGACATGAATTAATTTGTCTCTTGTTTTTTACAATTTACACACAAATCATTGCAGACAGTTCTTTCAAGTATTTGCCAGATATGTTTATGCTAATTGATGGAAACATCCAAGGGTTTCTCATTTTCCAGCTGTGTTTATTTCACTAGCATGTCGATTATTAAAAGAAATCTGTGTTAATCACTATAGTTTGACAGTTTCTCTTCTGTACTATAGAGAAACCAATGTGTAATGCATTAAATAACGTGAAATAAAGCAAGTATGAACATTTGCTACATATTTTCATATGATTCAAACCTTAAAGCAAAATTCAAACAATGATCAGTTCTCCATTAATTTAAACCAAGCAACCTTGAGCATCTGCCAGATAATTTATTCTGTTTAGCAGTTATTATTATTTGCTAGTGAATTAAGAATACTTAGATTGGCTTATCAATGCTGTGAATTTGTTTCACACACAAACAGTAGTTTTTATTGCTTAAAGTAAGATGATGGGCTAAATATATTATTTATATTTTACATATAGGATTCTTTCTATAAAATGTAAACATTTTATATTCCAGTATCTTAAAAGTGGTTGTTTGTTTCAGGCTTTTAGAATGCACATTGTAATAAAAGTCAGTTATGTATAAAAATGCTCAGCCTTTTCCTCACTTTTTTTCCCTTCGGATGATAATGCTGACTTTCCAAATTAAGGTTATGTAGGATGGAACCAAAATTCACCTAGAAAGCTGCCCAGCCAAGATGTAAATTACCATATAAATCCTTATATGTGGAAATTGTATATAGTAGGTCTACCATGATTGATTGGTGGGCAGGACTCAGTATGAACAGTGTGATAAGAATGTAGGTAGGTAAAAGATCAGCAAGAATTGTTTCTTGCATATATGTAAGTGAAATGTTGTTGGGATCTATTGTGCATCCCAGGTTTAATTTCTGAAAATACACAAATTATACAAGGCTTTTAGTTCCCCCTTTATTCCTACATTTATATTCATGTGAGGCTCTGGATACTCTTTTCATAGAAACTAAGCATTATTGACCTTGTGCAATTTTGCTCATTTTTTTTTCTATTCCCCCTGCACTGCCTTCATTGCATGTTCTTTTACACTCAGTTCTTTCTAACACATTTTCTTTAGGGTGTTTTTTTCTTCTGGATGTACTTTTTCATTATGCAGGAGGAACTGGACACATATAGTGATTTAATAGTTAAAGGCAAAACTTTCTTTAATTTAGAAAAATACCCTATTACTCTATGTTCTGAAAGGTAGCGTGATGGATTCTTTTTATTTTTTTGTAGTTGTAACCATTTTTTTTAAAAAAAATCAAAATCAGATGTGCATGTATTAAATGAAACTTAAGTTCTTAATTGAAGACCCAGTGCAGATATAATAGCAAAAGCAACTTAGAAATAAATTGTCCTTGTTTGTTATTGTGAATGACTTTGATATC